GAGGTTGTGAGTCTTTAACCTTGAGCCTGACATGAATGTGAACCAAACTCAAGATACTTGGCTTATCGGAAGCTGGGTAAACATTCGAGTATAAGCCCATACTCTACCAACCGTATCACACCTGTTGATCTTAAAACAGGTCCTATGTATTTCGCCTTTATACTGTTGTACATAGGGGTGAGATTTTTCTCTATTTAATCTTTTCTTCTGCTGAGAAAAAATTGGTAGTATTGAAAAATTGTTTCTCTTATTTTTCTTGCCTGATGCAGTATTTAAATCTAATTTTCAGGGTGGGACGAAACTGAAGAGCTTTTTTTAATTACAGCTACAGAGAAGAAAGAAGTGGAAACTTATAGTTCTGTCAAAATGTCTAGAAGTGTTGTCCCCACAGTCTTCTGTTAAAAACAGTTCATTTTTTTCTGTTGTCTCCATTACTGTGAGAAGAGTATCTCATTGTTTGTCTTCCCTTGGCATTGTCAGCATCATAAAAAAGTCATTATATTAATTCTATGTAGTTCATAACATATCAACAGCATAACATATCAACAGCAGATGTGTCACCACACATTGCACAATGAAAACAAGTTTAAAGAGAGCTCTGTAGTGTAATGTGAAGCTTAAAAGATGCTATACAATTATAAACAATATTTACACCGGGGGGGGGAGGGGGTGGAAGGAGAGGGATCTGATTCAGCAAAGTAGTTAAATGTGCCAGTAATCTGATGGGACTATAATTCTTAAAATTAAGAACGTGCTTAAGAGTTTATTGAATTGGGACAATATAAGCAAATCATTTTAATTAGCTTAGTGCTAGTTTAACTGGAAGTGCAATTACAATGGCATCAGACCCACCATCTGTGTGAAGTCAGATTTGTTGCCATTAACGTCAATATTAAACATATTTTTTTCTGTTGCTAGCACCAGAGTCAGAATAGCTCTGGGACAGTATGATGTCTGTTATGTCTCACATGTATTAACAGGAGTTTGAATTACTCTTATACTGCAGAATCTTTTACTGGTTATGAGGTACACGCCAGAAAGCTCCCAGCTGATGGTGCAGGGCTGGACATCAGGAAAAAAAAATTCTATTTCTGTCTTACAAGTAATCTAAAAATAAGTATTTTATGTTACATGTTTATTTTAAAAAATCATATTTTTGTATCTTAACACCTCTTTAATGGGGGTGTGCGCATATAGCTGAGTTATTAAAATAGGCAACACATAAGTTTAGTGTTTTGTGTTGCGTCTGCTGCTGTTGATTGTTACTACCAGAAGAAAAGCAGAGAACTTCATTCCAGAAGTATTATATTCTAGAAGTAGTGTAGCAGGGCTACCACTGAGCTCTGAACTTGGGTCTTGACCTACAATAAAAGAGGTGATGAGATACAAATACTTAAGTATAGGTCTCACACACAATATCCATTGAGACCAAAACTTTGGTATGGACTGCAAATCGGACACATTCTATTTCATAAATTCCAAAGCCAGACATGACCTTTGTGAACATCCAGACCGACCTGTGTAACACAAGCCACAGAACTTCCTCAAAGTAGTTCCCAGAGAAGAAATCTAATCTTGATTATTTTAAATTGCCATGATGAAGAATTTGCTTGGCAAATTGTTCAAAAAGTCACAAAGTACATCTTATTTCCAGTCTGAATGTATCTAGCTTCAGCTTTCAGTTGTTGCATTTTTGCTATACCATTCTCTGATAGACCAAAGAGGCCATAATCAAATATTTGTTCTTCATGTAGGTGCCTCTTCCTGTAGCTACCTCATTGGTCTATCAGAGACTGGTATAGCATGAGCCAATGGCTGGAGCTGAAGCTAGATCAAGTCATCCCTTACAGTGAGGCTATAAACCATATTTTCTAATGATTTAGTCAGTTCTGTAGCTCTTCTGTAAACCCACAATTTAAAAATGGCTCAATATTTTTTTCTACACACAAGCATATGTTAGTCTGTTTGAGCCAATCCAGCACAATGCCCTTTGACCATAGCAGGCAAGTTTCCTCTGAACTAAAGGTTCTTTAACCTCTGGGTGCTGCAGTTTGGAAATCTGTTCCTTCTTTGCTAAGCTATACATACTCGAGTGCAGAATTTTTTGACTGCAATAAAACCGTTTCCCGAGAAAAGGATGCAACTTTAAAAAAAATCCACTTGACAGACTAGAAGTTAAATTTACTAGTTTAGAAAGTCTTTTTCACTCCACTAGATAAAGTGCTGAAAAATGCTTTCACTTAATTTATAAAAAGTTTATTTTATTCAGCTAAAGTATGGTATCAAGAAAATATAAACTAAATCATAAAAGCATTTTAAAAAATAAATATTATATTATGAAGAAGTACAGGGGGCATGCCTTAAAAACTCTAGTTAACGTATATCAGATTCCTGTTTTAAAGAATACCATAAGAAATTTGTGGATAATTAGTGTTAGGCCATCCATCCATTCAGTGCTTTAGGAAAGGGTAGACGGGCTGAGCTGACATAGGGGAGTGCGTTTACCAGCTTTTCTGCTCTGGCAATGTTCAAATACTACCTTAAGTTATGAGTGCAAATGTGTTTCTTAGCCTACTCTCCATTTGTGTGCATTATAAATTCATCATGTACCATGGCACAATTCAATCAGACATTGCTCAAATAAAACACAGGTCTCTAATACCAGGATCTAGGCATATCAAGTAGTAGGTGTTGTATACTGGCAGAAGTTGTCATGTCCTACATAGAGACCTGGTTAGCTATTCTTCATCCTGATTACAAAGCTGTTAGTGGACTTTCTCTTCCGGCATCCCAAAATTGCTCAGGCCATTCTGTACCAGTCTATTTCCCTTCCCCTAAAACACAGCCATAGCAGGGAAATGAGCACATTAACAGTCTTTTTTGTGCTTATTTCCCTGGTGCTAAGTAGGGGCTATCTCCTTGCAGGTGTCTGTAAGACTATGCTATTGATAAAATTGCTAAGACTGCAAAGCAAAAATCTGATTTAATTCTGTCCAATTTTTCCAGTACTGCTACACTGGCAGAAACCATTGGTAGAAGCGTTGAAACTCAGATCAGCTTTCTTGGTGAAACTGCTGGCTGAGCATACTGAGAAAACCATTCCATGTCTAAGACACAGGCATCTGCCAACTAGAAGAGAAATTAAGGTTATTATTCATAACAAAACCTTATAGGCTCCATGATCTCATAGGACATATGTAGCAAACCAGTAGATTTCAAATTTGTGTGAAGAAACGCAAAGTGCCTGCTCACACATTTTCTGTCTGTGCCGTTGGTGTGTCACGCTAATAAACACTAAAAAATCACTTATAAATTAAGGGATGAGTGAAAGAATACAACTCATATTGAGGCATAAAACATTGCCAAGCAGTTCATATTTTTGCCATTTTTTTCTTTTACTTTTCCTCAAAAAGTTATGTCTTCTTACTAGCACCACATAGCGCAACCCTTCTTTTCTGAACGGATGGCTTTTCTATAGCTAGCGTCCTCTTCTTTCCCACCCCACCCCCCAAAACATAGATCACTTCCCTCAGCAATGCACTCTCCTTTTGCTCCACTTTCTCCTGACAGACCAAGTCGGCACAGCTGCCTAGAAGCCTAGTTGCTGCTAGTTGTAGCTTTCTTCCAGCTGTCTTACTGGGGACTAAAACGAATAGTCATCGTAGCAGAATAAGGACTGCAAACATGGCATAAAATTTACATGTTTCAGAATTTAAACTCATGAAGGGTGTTCACAACTGAGACAGAAAAAGAAAGAATTTTCTTTTAACTATAAAATACATTATTTTATTGAAGGTCTCTGTATATTTTTAACAAGTTAAACGGCTAAAACAGTGGGTCTATACTCGAGTGTTTACTTTACATATGCATGAAGGAAAAATAACAGTTGAGTCAACAATTATATGTTCACATTATCCAGGCTTCCAAGTGTAGTTGTGTGCCAGTTATCTGTGTTTGTGTGGTAACTGTGACTTCCCCCTTCTGTGGTAGCATGATCTTGCCTCGTATTTTGTCTGCTTGGCTTTTTGTGCTCCTGGCTGCCTTTATTTTGCGTTTGCATTTTTTTTCTGTGTGTATCTTTGGCTCCTCTTTGTGTGTGTCTCATACATACTCTTTGTGTGTTTGTCCAAATGTGTCTGAGTTTTTGTTTTACTGTTTATAAAGTGTGATATGTTATATGTCTTACTATATATATTAGACATTTTTTAAAAAAGCCTTTCTACTTACTCACTGCAAAACTACATGCATGGTTCTACATTTGCATTAAAATTAACATGGCTTGTCTTTTACTAGGGATGTACCACATGAGTGGACGCTCGCTTTCTTTAACCAGTGATTCCCATCATTTCTTTGATGGCTTTAAACTCAATTTGTTTTAATATTTCAGTTGGTACAGACACGTTAAATGAACAAAACTGAGCCACTCCTTTATGCATATAACATCAAGAGACTATGGACTTCAGCTGCCTGCACTGCCCTAACCATATGCTACATTTTCCAAAAAGTATTCGCTATTATAGCACTGTTGTTCTCTAAATGTTCTTATCTCTGACATATTTCCTCTTTTTCCCTTCAGATCCGCGTCGTGAAGGCATTCCGTAGCTCTCTCTATGAAGGGTTAGAAAAACCAGAATCTAGAACCTCCATTCATAACTTTATGACTCATCCTGAATTTAGGATAGAAGATTCCCAACCCCACATCCCCCTCATTGATGACACAGACCTAGAAGAAGACCCTGCTCTCAAGCAAAATTCTAGCCCACCATCTTCGTTGAACAAGAACAACAGTGCTATCGACAGTGGAATAAATCTTACAACTGATACAAGTAAATCAGCTACCTCTTCTAGTCCAGGAAGCCCAATACATAGCCTGGAAACATCACTTTAGCTGAAATTTCACTGCAAAAAATATAAATAAAAACAGCAACTGAAGTATATACATAGCGAGCAAGAGATTAAAAAAACTGTACTAGCTGAGAAGAACTTTTATTCACTTTATGATGAGTGAATGAATTGCTGATCACAGTGGTTTCGGAGAAATAATGAATGGCTGATTTACATACTCAATTTTCCTTACTCGCAGAAAAACAAATACACCCTCCTGCATGAATGTGCATCCCAGAGCACTCAACCCTCTAGCTCTCATGTGCGCCATCCCCTCTCGCCTTTTTTTAAGCAGAAAATACAGAGGACTTTTTTTTCTGAGGCTATTTATCCAATTCAATTGTCTGTGAGGGTTTTTTTTTGGTTTTTTTTGGGGAGGCTATTTATCCAATTCAATTGTCTGTGAGGGGTTTTTTTTGGGTTTTTTTTTGGTTTTTTTTTTGGTTTTTTGAAATGCTTGTGTGGCATGGATTCAGTTGTATAGATTAATTTAAATAATGTTTTTGAAGTTGCAAAGCTTAACTTGCACAGTAGATATGCACCAGTTGGACAGAGGAACTTAATAAACATTTATGAGATTATATAGACAGATATATACATATAAATATATACATAATTAACTATATATGTATATATGTATCTATCTGTCTATCTATATATATATATAGATAGTTATATATAAAATTTCTTTGTTGGCATGTTGCCTTGTTTCTGCTCAAATTGCTCTATTTTAACTTATTTATGTCCTAAAAAAAGAATGTAATTTGTTTACAAACCTGTAGATAATATCCTTAACTATTTGTAGGGTTACGACAGCACTTCCTGCCGAAGTAGTATAAAAATTGCTCAGCTCTTTGAAAACTACTGTAATATTGCACCTTGGATGTTTTATTACACGTGTTCTGATTTTGCCTGCCTTTTTTTTTCTTAAATAATGTAGATACTGCTAGCAAATAACAAAAGAAGCCAAAATATAATACATTGGATGTAGCATTGTTAACCTAGATTACAGGGCAGTGAACAGGCTTCCTTTGTTCCATATACAAAGTTAAAATGATCAGGTGTTCTTTACCCTTCCCCCCTTTTTATTTTAATAAATTGCTTGAACTTGTTTTGGTGCAACACTCAATGATGGAGGCCATTTCATTTTTAAAGTGTATTGCAATGGCTTATTTAAAGTATTTTTTAAAAGTTGTTATATGAAACGCAGTTTAGTTTATGAATAAATAGTCAAAGATAAATTATATTTGGCTTTATGTATGGAGATCAAGCTAGTGTTGAAATATTGTGACATGTAGTGTTGATCCCTTTCAGTTAGTAATTTAAACATTCATTTCCTTAGAAGTTTCTCGGCTGTTGGCATTTGATACTCACTATGGGTTTGTTGCTGTGACTTTAAAAAAAAAATTCTCATTTCTGCACCTATCTAGATTGACTGACATTTTAAGAAATGTATGTATATTAAGTATCAGAGGGGTAGCCGTGCTAGTCTGGATCTGCAAGAGCGACAAGGAGTCCTGTGGCACCTTATAGACTAACAGATGTATTGGAGCATAAGCTTTCATGGGCAAAGATCCACTTCATCAGATGCATGTAGTGGAAATTTCCAGAGGCAGGTATAAATATGCAGGCCAGAAATTTATACCTGCCTCTGGAAATTTCCACTACATGAATCCTACGAAGTGGATCTTTGCCCACGAAATCTTATGCTCCAACGCTTTGGTTAGTCTATAAGATGCCACAGGACTCCTTGTCACTTATGTATATTGAAATGTTCCTTGCATGGGTTTTTTTTTAAAATGAAGAGTGTCTTCCTTGTAGTCACAAAATATACGGGAGCTAATTAACAATCTTGTTTTACCTATGTATTCTAAAAGGAAAACCATTTTGAAAACTTGCAGTAATCATGAGTCAGAAGTATTTTTCAAGGTGGTAACTGCCCTGGTAACTTTAATTTATGAGCTTATATAATTGCTATGTCAACCACTTGAATGCTAAGCACTTTGTGGGTCACAGACTTTTCATAAAAGTAATTTTGTATTTAATACAAACATTTGCTTCAAGATTCACGCATATGCTCTTTTCCATAATCTTGTACAGTCCAAAAGACATTTTGAATAACATGATCGATTATGCGAGGGGGAAAAAAGGACTTTCAAACTAACTTGATAAATTCATTTCTTCTTTTGTATTGTTTGAAAGCTGGCTAAGAAATTGGTGTACTGCTGTAGTTTTAAGAACTAGTCCAACTCAATGAACTCTGCCAACTCATGGCCAAACTGAAGTTTGTAGTTCTAAGATTTTTTCAGGTTTCAGAGCAGGTAAAATTCTCATCAGCTTGAAATGCCAGCCTTCTGACTTTTGTGCAGCAGCTTAATTTTTTTTTAACTCATACTCACAGCTGACTGATTCAAACTTTTCACGTAAGAGCAGACGTTTCAGAGCTTAGAGAATTGTTTTCAACAGCTAGTTTTGCCCATTTCTTAATAATAAAACTGGCAGGAAAACATAATTGGATGCTAAGTCTTGTTAATTCTTAGTAGCAAGGTGATTGCAGCATTGTTCTTAGGCTTGTAAATACAGGGACTGACATTAGTAAAATAGGTATTGTGTTTAAAGGCCTATTTGGAATTCCAAAGTCACAAAAAATTATTTTATTTATAGGGAAGAGCCTCTGTCATTACATTGGATCAGAGCAGCTGCAAAATCTTTCAGTACTGCACCATAATAATAACTTAACAATGATGTTTGTCTTTTATGTTCAAGCGTTTTCTTCAGAAATTTTGTTTCATTCTAGTGGAAAGAGTACCATTTGCATACTTGAAAAAAAAGTTTTAAAATAAATTAACACAGCACTCTGTGTGTATATAGTAAAAACATATATAAGCTGAGATGCATAGAAAACTGGGGCTTCTGTGAGCAGAAGTTATGCTTTATGTATATGATAAATGATACACCTTTTTTAAATAAAGCAGACTAGTTATGCCCTTTAAATTACAAGTCATGCATCACAATTCTTTGTTTTTTTAATTGCTTGATGGGAACAATGGATCAAAAAAACCCAAAACGATCAGTTTGTTACAATTCACTGCAATATATATAAATGCTTGCTTTCTACATACGGTACTTAGCAGCATGAGATTTGTGGAAAACAATACAGTGGCACATTTGGCAATCTGTCCCATTAGGGGGTTAATAATTCAGCTGTTTTTATTAATTTTTTTATCTAGACAATAATTGTAAATAAATATCTTACTGTCTCTGTTCATTTATTACTATGCAAAAGGTTATGCTTTCTATTGTTTATTCTTATTCCTACAGTGTGATGCTGGAATGTTTGTGGTTTAAAAAAAAACCCCAAAAAAACAAACAAAAAAAGTAAAAAAACTAAGTAAAATATGTGATGTAAATTATTTTATAGTTTGAAACAAAATGATAACGTTTTATTCTTGCTGCGGTCTAATAGATATCTCCTGGCAGGAGCACAAAAGTGGAAAATTAAATAAAAATAAATTCACAAAGCAGCATGAACAAAAATGGTCTGAACGTAACAGCCGTCTTTATTTCCCCTTTAATTCAACAATATGTCACTTGAACCCCCATGAACACAAGGGAGGGGGTGTATTTATACGCATTCATGCTGCATTTCAGCATAAGAGTCTTACAATGACAAACCTAGCTCTGCACCAGACACCTATGACCTGAGCCGGCCCACAGCACCCTTGGTCTGACCCACTGCAAGCCAACCAGGAAATGACAGCAAGCGTAGCTCTTAAAGGAGGGTTTTTAGTTTGGTTCCATTACTTTCTCCATGTACAGGTGACTTGAAGTGCTGGGAGTCCCAGGAAGGCAGTAGCTGTTGTTTCTATTGTATTTGTATTGCCAGTGAGTCTGGAGGTCTGAATAGTTCAACATTAATCCTGCATTTGAGTAATACAAATTAGATGCATTCTACCCTTAGATACATTCTACCCTTTTTTGTATTCCTGGTCGTAGGTCTGTGTCGTCGTTTCTTCATGCCTTGTATTCCGCTTTAAATTTAAACCAAGCACCAATTTTTTTTCCAATCCATGGATGGATTTTAGCATCTAAATCTGTCTTTTGCAAGAAAAGTGGCTTGAGTATTTGGGATATGCCCATTTATGGATGGTGGGGGGGGACACCAGAATTTGCTGGGTGGGGAGGGTTCATCTACCTATAGAATAAGTGCCTTTCTAACAAAACTCTATGACAGTTGGTTTCCCTATTAACATTAAATTTAGCATTACTGACATTTCATTAATTAGTAAAGAATTGGCTCCTGAAGTTCAAGCACTGAGAAACTTATTACATTCATAACCAGTTGTGCTAGTGCAACGAACAGCATGGTTTCCTAAGCTGTGCCCTTCACTACTAGCTTATATACCATATTTGTCATGATACGTCATATAATACATTTGTCATTCAAATGGAGTTACTTCGCCTGACACAGGTTCAGCTCTCATCCCATTTGTATTTTGAGTGTCAAACATCCCTAGATATAGGCGACTCCACCCCTACGTTTAAAAAAGTAGTTTTTCATTACTGGTAGATTTTTTTGACAGTGTGAAATAGAGCTAAACGGAAGTAAGCACAAGAAATGAGAGCAGATTGGGGATAAAGCGTTAAAAATTATACTTAACACTTGTTGATAATAAACGGGTTTTTTAAAATATATGGTTTCATATTTGGTACTAGATTTGTTAGCTACTTTGAGGTTCAATTTGGGGACAGGAGATATTTTGGTGTGACATAATACTGAGGCGCTTATAATACTCTGGTTGATGTAATCAAGAGATCTTCCGTCCCTTGGACACAGAAGCATTGGATTTGTATCTTTGTTAAAACTGCAATAAATAACTGCATTCTATCTTCACTTACTATGTTACTCCAATTTTTACTAGATTTTTTTTTGCTGGCGTTTTAAATCCATTTCATGTTTTGCTGTAGTGCATTGGGAGGTTGGGGGAAAGAGACAAAGAGAAGTTTCATCTCCTGGAAAAGCATTTAGTAGTTTTTTCCATTAAATCAAAGGCCTGCTAAATTTGAAATCTTAGTCACACAATTCTTTCACCACTTGCTTATGTATAAAGTAAATCATAGTATTCAGGTTGAGATAAAGAGTATAAAAGTCTATGATAAAGAGTATAATTATTTAAATATAAATATGACTAGTAGTTTATTTTAGGCTCCCTTTATAATTTGGCTGTTGTAAAATATGAGCCAACTCATGAGTATAGTAACATGGAAATCGACCATTATTAAATCCTGACTATGCATCACCACCACATACTACTTTTCTATGCTGTTTTCTATAAACCAAAGCAGAAAAAGAGCAATATATATTTTCC